GAAATGTAATTATTATTGTATTAGAAAGTTACAAGTTTAATTTTGTCAATAATATCTTTTTAGTCGAGTCTGTTATATAGAGTCTTCTTAATAATGTAATTTATCTTTCTTATGTGATTTATCGACTATTACATAAGAACAAGTTTACCCGTACATATGCTAGAGAAGTAAATTTCTCTCATTACTCGCATGGACTTAGCTTACTCGTTTAGTAGCCAGTATTTGGAAGGAGAGACCAACGTTCGAACCTTGGCATCGATAGTATGAGGATTATGTCTAAAGTTGACAGATTTCTTGTGCGCACCAGCATTCATTTGCTGAGTCATTATTAAACCTCCGTAATTTACATCATTCCAAATGTTCTGTCGGGTCAGAGTGAGAATCCTTAAAATTCGGGATTCAACCTTTTAAAAGTGATTAGTCTTGCTTGGTTGAAGAACTCATGAGAATGTATGGAAGGCATAGGATTTCTTGTCATCCGCAACAACGTATGTAACAGCTAATAAAGACAGGGTGGGAAAAATATGTGTGAGCTCACATTAAATGTGTCTGCCTTTGTGTAATGGGTCCAAAAATCTCCTCATGCCCCCATGCCCTAGTAAATGGTGATGGTTGAGTTAGTTGAGTGCATATATTCCATCTCTGTTCCCCTCAGCTTTCTACCTGCATTGTTTTCAATTGTTTTTAGTGGTAGACTCAACTCTTGTGTTTATTAATCGGTCAAATTTAAACAAGAAAGACATTTTTTAAAATTTAAAAACAGACGACGAGGTAGGAAGTGTTGGGCGTCAGTCAAATTCAGTCCCGGTTTGATTTGATACGTGGCGTTGTAGTTACTCGGGAAAGATGTGGTTAAATGGTAATATCACTACTACAAAACACACTTACCACGGTGGTTCTTGAAGTGCCGTGTAAGTGACTGCCTTTGTAAATAAAAACTTTCTACGGCGGTTATTTGAACCGCCGTGTTTCGGTGTATACTTCTAAAACACACGGCACTCGCTTTTCTTAAGGAACCACCATCTATTCATATGTAGACTATACATAGGGCTGCCTATGGTTCGGGCTCAAGGCCCTGAGCCCAGGTTGCAATGTAAGGCCTAGGATCATTTTTATCAACAATATTCCGACCTACGCTTGGGATGGGAATCGATCCCGGGCCTGCCTTTTTGAAGGTCCATACCGGATACCATCAAACCACAAGGCAATAGTTATGTTATGCAACCGAATGTACCATGCACATGGTGCATACGGTTCAAAACGACGTCGTTTTGATTAAAAACGCGCGTCCTACTTTTAAAAAAAAAATCAGGTTCGACTCTCAGCAATAGCATTATTGTGGATATATAGTTATGAAATTGTGGATATATAGTTATGAAATTGTGGTTATATAGTTATGAATTTATGGATATTTAGTTCATTCATTGTGGATATTTAGTTCAATCATATATTGTGGATATTTAGTTCATTCATTGTGGATTTTTACTTCATTCATTCATTCATTGTGGATTTTTACTTCATTCATTCATTTATTGTGGATTTTTACTTCATTCATTCACTGTGGATATATAGTTATGAAATTGTGGATATATAGTTATGAAATTGTGGTTATATAGTTATGAATTTATGGATATTTAGTTCATTCATTGTGGATATTTAGTTCAATCATACATTGTGGATATTTAGTTCATTCATTGTGGATTTTCACTTCATTCATTCATTCATTGTGGATTTTCACTTCATTCATTCATTCATTGTGGATTTTTACTTCATTCATTCACTGTGGATATATAGTTATGAAATTGTGGATATATAGTTATGAAATTGTGGTTATATAGTTATGAATTTCTGGATATATAAAAATGTTATTGCCGGGAATCGAACCTGATTTCTTCTTTAAGTGGGACGCGCGTTTTTTTAACCAAAACGGCGCCGTTTTGCAACCGTATGCACCTTGCAAGGTGCATTCGGTTGCACAGCATAATTTGCGACCACAAGGGAGATGGTTAATTATGCTATGTAGGAACATAATATACGTGCACATGTATATAATTAGAAAATACTATGTTTTCTTGGATTAAGAAACTATTAAGCTTAATGAATAATATTGATTTAGGAAAATTTAATAAAATTAGTCGTATGCACATACGGTCCTCGTACAATGCCCAAAAAAATGGAGCACCACACCTTTACACGGCGACCGCCGTCTATTAAGTGACGTAAATATATATTAGAAGACGGTTATTTAAGAACCGCCGTCTATTAAGTGACGTAAATATATATTAGAAGGCGGTTATTTAAAACCGCCGTCTATTAAGTGACGTAAATATATATTAGAAGGCGGTTATTTACAACCGCCATCTATTAAGTGACGTAAATATAAATTAGACGTCGGTTATTTAAGAACCGCTGTCTATTAATTGACGTAAATATATATTAGACGGCGGTTATTTAAAACCGCCGTCTATTAAGTGGCGTAAATATATATTAGAAGCCGGTTATTTAAAACCGCCGTCTATTAAGTGACGTAAATATATATTAGAAGGCGGTTATTTACAACCGCCGTCTATTAAGTGACGTAAATATATATTAGACGGCGGTTATTTAAGAACCGCCGTCTATTAATTGACGTAAATATATATTAGACGGCGGTTATTTAAAACCGCCGTCTATTAAGTGGCATAAATATATATTAGAAGACGGTTATTTAAAACCGCCGTCTATTAAGTGACGTAAATATATATTAGAAGGCGATTATTTAACAACCGCCGTCTATTAATAAGTGACGCCGTATATAATAGACGGCGGTTATTTAAAGACCGCCGTCTATTAAGTGTCGTAGTATATAATAGAAGACGGTTATTTAAAGACCGCCGTCTATTATGTGTCGTAGTATATAATAGAAGACGGTTATTTAGAAAACCGACGTCTATTATGTGTCGTAGTATAACAAAATATAATAGAAGGCGGTTATTTAAAAAACCACCTTCTATTAAGTGACGTAGTATATCATTTCTGTAGTAGTGTATACACCTACTTATTACCAGTTAATTTTAAATAAAATATAACAATTAAATAATTAAATAACTTTATAGTTAAAGATATTTAACTTACATCAGTCTTAAGCACTCAAGCACTGAGATCCAACAAAAAGAAATGAGGGAATATTAAAATTATTGGTAAATCAATACGTCAGAAATTGAGAGTAAAGCGAGACTACGTACAAACTATTTGCATATGCAACATTTCTTTATTCTGCTTGACTGTGCTAAAACAAAAAGTCAAATAAGAAGAGTAAGATGCCAAAACAAGTTAAAACTGTAGTCAAAGGGTTTCATGTTTACTTTTCTTAATTAATCTTCACTTTGGTGGTTTCAAAATTTAGGTTGTCGTGCCAACACTCCGCCTATCCCGGAGAGGGAATCCAAGGACAATAGATTATTAAGAACAGGCCAATATTTTGTTTAGTATAATTTGACATTTTTAATATTTGTCTACTTATATTTTATGATTGAATTTCCCAACTTGTGTTCGAGTTCTTTATTTATACACTCTCATTATTGTTTTATTTTATTATCAACTAGTCAAATTTGACTAATTCAATTAGTTAATAGTTATTTACCAAACATACCATATAGCTTATTTACAATCATACACTTAGATTTAACATAACAATACATAATAATTAACATTATAATACTCATTAAAAGAGAATCGAATTAAAAGGATCAAATAGGCCCCTACACTTTAAATCAAAAAGTCAATTATGCACCTAAATTTTTAAAAAGTACAATTAAGCCCTCAAATATGTCAAATTGATACAATAAAGCCCAAAAATTGATAAATAACCTGTTATTACATGTCATTTAAGACCAGTCAAAAATTCGGCGACAGAGTAGCCATCTCGGTCCACCAAGGAAGGCGATCTGGCCGTCGGATTTTCGTCCTAACAGGTCATCGATTCTTGGGCTTCATTGTCTTAATTTGACATGTTTGAAGGTTTAACTGCACTTTTTAAAAAATTTAGAAATGCTACTGACTTTATTACAATGTCAATCAATTGAAGCACAAAGAGTTAATGTCGCCTCCACTGAAGCTCAAACTCACTCTCTTCCATATGAGAATGCAATTCGAGTGTCATTAGACTACAGGTTCTTGGCATAATATAAGAGTTTAAAAGCAAATAGAAGCCCTTTGACCAAATAATGTTTCAATTCATGATTAGGTCACTCATTACGACTATAAAACAAGAGGAAGCGCAATTGACCTGGCAACAAAAATATAAAATCAATAATCTTCTGTGATTTCATTTCGTGGTTGTCTGCATGTGTTCCTGTTAAAAAACATTAATAATGGTACTCACAGTCTTAATCAAAGTACACGTTAATCCACCACCTAATCCCGTATTAGTCCTCATACATGCATCTCAATTGTTGGACAATCAAATGTTTACGTTTCCAGCAATAATCAAGAGTGTTTTACTATGATTACTGCGTAATTGTGATTATTATTATTATTATTTTATTTACAAAAATTTGCAATTTTGTTGACACGTGGAAATCACAAACAAAATAAACTATAATTGATGTAGCCAAAGCCAAGCACTCAAGCTAGCTACTTTAACACACTCATCTCTAGAATTTTGTAGAACATCATTTGAATGGGTGTCAAGAATGATTAAGCCAAGTAATCCAATATCAACTTGCGTCCACAATCAATATGTGCAAAAAGAGAAAATTTCAATTTTTATCATATGACTATAGGGACTTTGTTAATTTTAGCACATGACTTTCAAAAGTTTCAATTTAATATCTTGATTATGTAATTTTTATTAATTTTGGTCACTCCGGTCAAATCGCTGAAAATTTTTAACAGTTAAATAATGAGGGTAATTTTAGTCATTTCACATCTCTTCCTTCTTCTCCGGCAAATTCATTTCTTCCGGCGAATCCGTCGCAGCAGCACACATTCCAAAGCATACTTAAACTCATTCGTCCAAGTCGTCATCGGCGATTTATTAGGGTTCAGGTGGCCAAAATTCCGGTTGAAAACATCTGGCCGTTTGTGTAAGGAGAGCTTGAGATATCGGAGGGCCTAGAAATCTCCGAACTACACTTCTCTTTATGCTCGTCCAGCGCACCTCCTGTCAAAATTCCGATTAAAAGCTTTTCCGGCCAAAAAAAGACTGGCTCGAAGAAGAAAGCGAAATGCTAAAATTGATGTTGGTGCCTATTTATTCTAAAACTTCTCTATATCAACATTATGCTAAAATTGAAAATACAAGGTACATTTTTAATATACCGAAAATACATTATTTGTATACTGAATGTACATTATTTTAATAATATATAAAATAATATACTTTCAAATAATATATTTCATGCATAGAAATAATATACTTTTAGTATATAAAAAATATATATTTTTATTTATGGTTCACGCAGCTGTGTGACCATGATTGCCAAATTAGGATCCAAAGTGTTATGCCCAAGCCCAACTCTATTGTGGGTTCATAATCCGAATTGCATTGATATTAGTATTTCCACTCCAATTTTGGTCACATGTTATTTAATAAGACCCTCAAACTCCAGATTTCATGATTGAACAATTTAAACTCCTAGAACTCGAGTCATTACAATCTAATTGGGTCAATATTTTCCATATTGCATTGGTGTTTGCATAGTCAATTAAATCTTGATAAAATCTCATTCAAGAAGGCTCTCAAAACTCCAAACTTCACGATTAAACAACTTAAACGTATTGAACTTTAGTCAATCAATAAATACCTTTTGATGGTACTTATTATTCAATTCAAAGTTATGATTTAAAATTTGTTTCCTATGTAATTGAAACAAATTGGGGCATTTTGAGAAAAAAAAAGATCTTTCCACGAAACGTCATGGTAAAACGCTACTATTTGTAGCATGTAGAAATTTAACGATTTGGAGCAAATTTGCTACTCCAAATCGTCATTTACCAAATTATTTTTTAACGTTTTGATGATGACGAATCCGTAATAACTAAACAAGCCCTATATATGTAGTTTTTTTATTAGATAACAATTATAAACTTTTTTTGTAAATCAAAGAAGACTAGACATATGGAAGCGGAGGAATAGCTAAGACAGAAAACATCTTTACCAGCGAGCAGATTGTTTGACTTGAGGGATGAGTGTTGAGAGAAAACGTCATGGGGGACCGCGCAGATTAGTTTTTGTGAATAATCAAAGATTTTCTCAATAATAATTATATAATTAAAGAAAGATAACAGAACGTACGAGCATTTAGCGCATTTTCAGTGAGTGTGAAAGTCAATATCATTTCTCAATGCTTTTATCATTTAGCGAGGGAAGTGCAGCAGTATGCCTTTGAGCTTTTCCTGATTCATAGATTTATAGGCTGATGATAGGGCCAAATGACAAGAGAGAGAGAGAAAGAGAGAGAGTCCAGTGGGGGAAGGGAGATAGATAATCAATATCGCTATGTTCTTGGGCTCCCAACTGCAGTAAATGTGCATTTGGTTTTGAGTCTTTGGCTTTAATTTGGCTTCCTGAAAAGCTAGAGAGAGAGAGAGAGAGAGAGAGAGAGAGAGAGAGAGAGAGAGAAAGCTTTAAGGTGTTTCAGAGTTTCAGGTGATTGAAGGGAGAAAGACACAGCGAGCGAGCGAAGCTCTTTCAGAAGAATTTCTCCGCACAAATTCCGGGTTTTCTGGTCACTCTTCTTGTCCATTTGTGGGGGATCTGGAAGTTTGGGTTCTCGGAATTTTGAGGTTTGACTCCTATCTCTACTGGCTTTTTTGAAATTCTGATGTGAATAGAAGTTGACCTTCCCTAAATCCCTTCTATGTGGTGGGGTTTCGAAAAAAGACCAGTCTTTGAATCTTAACTTGTTTTTTAGTTCTTAAAATTTTCTTGCAGTTTTGTTTGATTTTCTTGCCTTTACCCTGCGATTTCTTATAGATTCAGTGAATTTATCTTGCTAAATCAGCAAATACCGTTCTCCACTTCTCCCTAACTTTAGATTTTTCCTTTTGCTCTTTTCAGATAGCGGAATCTCTGGTTTCTGAATCTTCAAGAAAGGTCAAATCTGGGGTGTTTCCAGTCATTCTTTTGAGCACAAATACTTGGTATTTGTATTTGAATATTGCATAAAGCAAAGGATTCTTGGCTTTCCCTCCTAAGACAGGGTGTTTGGTTTTTGAAAACAAAGAGCTCTCATCCTGGAGAGCTTTAAGATTTATTCCCTTTTGCTTTTTTGAAGATAGAGTTTGAAACTTGGCCTCCTTTTCTAGGGTTCTTGTTTAATGGGCTAAGGATACTGCTGCTTGTCTCTGGTGTTAAACTGGAGCTTTATTCACTTCTTCTTTAGACATATACTCTGTGTGATTGACTGTACAGAAAAGAAAGCTTTCATGCATCTTTCATTATGGAAGCCAATATCTCTCTGTGCTGCTCTGATATTGGACAAAAAGAGCAGAAAGAGAGATGGGTCTAACCATTCCTCAGAAGAAGTTAAGAGGAACCCATCAGTTCTGAGGAAAGTGATAGAACACAAGCTCAGGGAGGCACTTGAGGAAGCATCTGAAGATGGGTCTCTTGTTAAATCCCAAGGGATGGACTCTGAGGCCATCGAAAATCAAGATGAGGGCTTGGGGAGATCGCGCTCACTTGCCAGATTACATGCCCAGAAGGAATTCCTCAAAGCCACCGCTCTTGCTGCAGAGCGCATATTTGAGTCAGAAGACTCCATCCCGGAACTCATCGAATCCTTTGCCAAGTTCCTCACCATGTACCCCAAGTACCAGTCATCGGAGAGGATTGATCAGCTGAGGTCAGATGAGTACTCTCACCTTTCTGGGTCTGGTCCCAAGGTATGTCTTGACTACTGTGGATTTGGGCTGTTTTCGTTTCTTCAAACTGTTCACTATTGGGATTCATCTACATTTAGCTTGTCTGAGATTACTGCCAATTTGAGCAATCATGCTTTATATGGGGGTGCTGATAAGGGTACCGTGGAACATGATATTAAAACCAGAATAATGGATTACTTGAACATCCCTGAGAATGAGTATGGCCTAGTTTTTACTGTTAGTCGTGGGTCTGCTTTTAAATTGCTGGCTGAATCATACCCTTTTCACACAAACAAGAAATTGTTGACAATGTTTGATCATGAAAGCCAGTCAGTTAATTGGATGGCTCAAGCTGCTAGGGAGAAAGGTGCCAAAGTTTACAGTGCATGGTTCAAATGGCCGACCCTCAAGCTCTGTTCAACTGATTTGAGAAAACAAATTTCAAACAAAAAGAGGAGAAAGAAAGACTCGGCTGCTGGTCTTTTTGTTTTTCCTGTTCAATCTAGAGTTACCGGTGCAAAATACTCCTATCAATGGATGGCTCTGGCTCAGCAAAACAATTGGCATGTCCTGCTCGATGCTGGTGCACTAGGTCCCAAAGACATGGATTCCCTAGGACTGTCTTTGTTTCGACCAGATTTCATCATCACGTCATTTTATAGGGTGTTTGGGTATGACCCAACTGGTTTCGGATGTCTTCTCATAAAAAAATCTGTGATGGCGAGCCTTCAAAATCAGTCTGGCCATGCTGGCTCTGGTATAGTGAAAATCACTCCGGTTTACCCCTTATATTTGAGCGATTCAATTGATGGTTTCCCTGGATTGGCTGAAGATGGTGAAGATGGAGGGGATAGTGAAGTTATCAAGGAATCTCGGCCAGGGTCTCAGTTGCCTGCCTTTTCTGGCGCTTTCACATCTGCCCAGGTCAGGGATGTATTTGAGACAGAAATGGAGCATGATAACAGTTCAGATAGGGATGGAACAAGCACAATATTCGAAGAGACTGAAAGCGTATCTGTTGGTGAGGTAATGAGAAGTCCTGTCTTTAGTGAAGATGAATCATCAGATAACTCACTGTGGATAGATTTGGGCCAAAGTCCGTTGGGTTCAGATAGTGCTGGCCATTCAAACAAACAAAAGATGGCCTCTCCCGTACCCCCGTTTTGGTTTGCCGGTAGGAGGAATAATAAGCGTCTATCTCCAAAACCTTCAAAGATATTGAACAGCCCAATGTATGACAAAGAGGTGAACCCAGGGCATCGTGAAGACCATATGCTATCATTTGATGCTGCTGTGCGTTCCGTGTCTCAAGAATTGGACCATTTCCAGGATATTCCCGAAGAAGAACAGTTCACTGAAGGGAATCTTGGTTCAAGAGAGTATAGGACCCCAAATAACCGGCTTGTTCGTGAGATAGAAGAAGTGGAAACTAGAAAACCTGATCAAATGAACTCTGCTGTGAAAGGGTATGGTCTTAACAAGGCTTCTACTTCTGAACATTTTCAGAATGGTTCGACCTCTGAGAAATGTCACGAGATTAAAGATAGTGCTATAAGAAGAGAGACAGAAGGTGAGTTCAGATTGCTCGGAAGAAGGGAAGGGAACAAATTTTCTGGTGGTAGATTTTTTGGCATAGAAGAGATTGATCAACCTGGGAGCCGGGGAAGAAGGGTTTCCTTTAGCATGGAGGATAACCACAAAGTTCGTCTAGGTCACACGCTGGAACCTGGGGAGTTATCAGCCACGAGTCTAGATGATGACGAGTACATGAGTAACGGGGAATATGATGGGCAAGAATCAGACAGGAGAGAACCCGAGATAATATGCAAGCATCTGGATCATATAAACATGTTGGGTCTCAACAAGACTACTTTTCGATTACGGTATCTCGTTAATTGGCTCGTGACCTCGTTGCTGCAATTAAGACTGCCCGGTTCAAACGGAGAGAACAGTGTATCACTTGTTCACATCTATGGACCCAAAATAAAATACGAGAGAGGTGCAGCTGTTGCTTTCAATGTGAGAAACAGCAATCGGGGTCTTATAAGACCAGAAGTTGTGCAGAAACTGGCCGATATGCACGGTATTTATCTCGGCATTGGCATCCTCAGTCACATTCGGATTCTCGATAGTTCAAAACAGCAGCGTGGAGCTTCAAATCTCGAAGTCACAATGGACAATGGCAGGCACGACGCTAAAAGTGGGTTCATCAGAGTCGAGGTCCTCACTGCATCACTCGGCTTCCTTTCTAACTTCGAAGACGTGTACCAATTGTGGGCTTTCGTGGCTAAATTCCTCAACCCAGACTTCATCAAACAAACTCTCCTCCCTACTGTCGAAGAAGAGGCTGACGCTTGAAACCCCGAACGCCATTTCAATGCTCGAGCTTTCTTTTGCCGCAGGACAAAGATGCAGAGAAGTGTGTGCTGCCTGGCAAGATTCAAGGTGGATTCTTTAGCAGCACCCTCTGCCTCTTTGATGCATTTTAGGATAATTTGTTGATTCTTGTTTTGGTTTCTGATTTTCAGCTTTAATTTTGGGATTCTGATGTGGAGTTGGATTTAGGAATTTGTATATCTTTAGGTAGTCATGACGAACTAAAGCATATATCAATGGGTTGGTTCATCATCCTCTCAACTACATTTTGCTATTTACCAGGCTGTTATTCTCTGCTGTATATATATTACATATCATTATTTCTTTAACTTCTGGGTTTTTTACAGTTATGATGTCTTTCATCTTCTCTACCGGTTTTTTGAAATGAATTTGAATTAGTGTGACATATAAGAAGTGCAACCCCTATGGAGGGTAGCTTTATAAGCCATATAATTGAAGGGTCACACAAATCTTATTTGGTAATAATTGTGTGTTGGTTCATTGCACTATGACTGCTACTTTTTGTGGTTTGGATGGGTTGGTGCATGAAATGGCGGGGGTCCTCAAACACTACCTTTTCATGTTTGGCTTGGTTGAACCTACTACATAGGAGAAGCCTAAAATGGTCTTGGGAGGGGGGGGGGGGGGGGCGGGCAGCCTGTTTTTGAAGCTATCAATTTCCAATTTTCATCGATGTTTACCCCATAAATGTGCTACAGGTGAAAAAGCGTCATTTTTCCTATAAAAAAAAGGAAAAGAAAATGATACATAGTACCTCACAGCTCTTACAAAATTTGTCATTTTTCCTATAAAAAAAAAAGGAAAAGAAAATGATACATAGTACCTCACAACTCTTACAAAATTTGCAATAAAATTCGTAACGTGTCTCTCTCTCGTTAAGCATATAATATATAAACATTTTAGTTCAACTATCAAAGTACATGTTTGTCAAGGACTTTGTGGTCTAGTGACATCAAGTTGCTCTCTTATATGAGAGATTGCAGGTTTGAGCGGTATTAACTTTTGTGCTTGAGTATTACTCAAAAAAATCAAAATACATATTTCAATTTGATATCAACCAATAAAACTACACAAATTTTTGCCGGTAACCAACCAGTTTATGCCGTTGTATTCTAGAGTGTGCCGATTGCGTTTGCGCGGAGAACTGGCATTACATGTATTAAGGGGTCGTTTGGTTCACGGAATGTCAGATTACCCTAGAGAATGTTAGATTGCTGGGAATGTTAGATTACTGGGGAATATTAGATTCCTGTGTTTGATTAAAATTGGGGTATGTAATATAATCATGTTTGGTTTAGGATTATCTTTTATACACTATATAATATCCTTAACATATTTTCATATATTTTAATAAATTTAAAAATTAAAATAAAAAAGTAAGATAACGGTATCATATATAATTACATGATTTTAAAATATTAACTAAAATCTTGAACTTGAAAAACAAAATTTTTTTATATGCTAACATAACATAATAAAAATAAAAAAAAATATAACTACAAAAATAATTATATATATATATATATATAAACTAACATAACCAAGGTTATCATACATCACCTAAAATTTTGAAGGGAATCACATTCCCTTCAAAATCTTATATGGAGGGAATGTGACATTCCTTGGGAATGTTAGATTCCCTAAGAGCATCCATATCAGTTGGAGATATTAGGGGGAGAATGTAAGAGTGAGTAGGAAAGAGAATAATGTGGGAGGGGAGGGAAAAAAAAAATCAAAACTGATTTTATAAAAAAAATATATAAAAAATAAGCATGTCATTTCTTTATTGGTTTTCTTTCCTCCATCATTAATTTTTTTTCTTGGGCAAAGTAATATCCTAACATTTGCAGATGCTCTCCACCCCTTCTCTCTCTTGATTCTCTCTCTGCCATTATGGCATTTTGGCCTCAAAAGTAGTGAATTCTCCCCCATTTCTCCTCTGATGTAGATACTCTAAGATAATATGAACCAAACACTGAAAATGTGAGCTTTAAATGTCACATTCCCTTAGTTATGTTATATAACCTGAACCAAATGCCCCAGAGAGTGTAAAGGAACTAAGGAAGTCTGCTTACATAATTTTTGGTAAGCCATATTAAAATATACTCCGTACTAAACTTTGGTAGAGTAGTTTTGGGAGGAGATGGGCTTATCTTCTTGCAGATCTCTCTCTGAGTTGAGTTGACAAGCTAAGCCAGCAGTGACGTCAAACAAATCTAACCTTCACGTAAAGGAAGTCTATATATGTTCCATTGTTCCTTCACCTTGGTTACGTTAATCCTGGCAGCTAGTACAGTAGATCACAGAAACTATGGTCCTGTCGGTTACAAGTATGTTTTGTACGTGTATATTTTCTGGGTGGATCTAATCTACTGTGCTATTTGCAACCTTTTGTCTTTTTTGTTCAATTCGTTAGTTCTTGAAAACGTACTGAAACGTTGGATTCCGTCCTTCTGTTCTGGCCAGGCTTCTAGCATGCATGTCTCCTACTAATTTATCTTTTCTGCAACCTTTTCTATGAATCAAAGCTCCGACTTTTAGTATCTATCTCTGACATTTGGTTTCTGTTCTCTTTGTCCCTCCCTTAAATATAGTCCAGACCAAAAGAATTTGTTTAGCCATATTGAGAAACCAAACGACATTCTATCTCTTCATTAAAATCATACGTTTCTTTCCCAAGTTCCAACAACTAAACTAAAACCAAATATCATTGATGTGACAAGCCAAACACATCAAGCAAGTCGAATCAAGTTTCTTACTGTTGCAAGTATGGGGGGTTGATGATCTTCCCTATTTAGCTTCTCCTCTGTAACTTCTTTCATTGCTGGCTTTCTGGCACCGGTCCAAAATGAAGGTTAATCCTCATGGCTACCCGTCCTTCTTGAAGACTTATCTTGGTGAAGCACGCTACTGGGAAAGAATTGTAAGTTATATAAACACCATCCATGAATCCATGCATCCTTGTTCTTAATTACTTTAGTTTGTGTTTGATTTTGCAGCAAATACCCTCTAAATTTGTGGACACTCATAAGAACAAGCTGGGTGGAAGCACATGGGTTCTGAGAACAGAAGATGGAACATCATGGTCCATGGAGATCATACGAGAAGGAACAGAATGTTTCTTCGGCAGAGCGGATTGGGAGAAGTTCGCAAAGCATCATGACCTACGGTTTGGAGACCAGATTATGGCTTTTCTTGTGGGAAATTCTGTGTTTGAAGTTATGGTTTACAGCCAAACTACTTGTTGCCGGGTTCTATATCCCAACCCTCACCCTACTGCTAATGAAGAAGCTTCAAGAAATGCCAAGAAACAGAAGAGGAAGTATGTATTTCGCAACAAGTCAAAAGGCTCATCAGGTATTTCTTCTTCTTTCTTCTTGGGTTTCTCTCCTTAAAGATGAGGCCATTGTTGTGCTGCAGATATGAAAGAAGAAATCTTTGACATCAAGAATGTAAAGCAAGAAGAGGGGTTGCAGACTAAGAGATACAGTACTGTGAATCTCAAAGCTAAATGCCCTTACTTTGAAACCATTGTAAAGAAGAGTCACCAGACTTTCATGGTACTTAAATTAGCTTCTTGCATATTATACTGTGCAGATTAATATATCTCTTTTAATGGTCATAATATTGTTTATTCATAATAATGTGGATGTTAGTGTGTTCCTGTGGATTTTGCACGGGAGACGGGGATAATTAATCAGAAGAGAATTGTGCTGAGAGGTGAAAATGGGAGGAGGGAGACAGTGCAGATTGGGCACTTATGCAATAGAGTCAATCTGATCAAAGGGTGGAAGTCTTTTAAGAAAGCTAATAAAATAAGGAGCGGAGACAAGTGTTCATTCACTTTGGTTAATCCCGACAGTCTGTTTGTCAAGAAACTCCGCCATTAAAGCTGATAAGAATATCATCAGCCATGGCTGCCCCTACCAAATGGGGCATATGAATTGATGATAACTGGAAAGCTGTTTTGGATCTTTTCTGTTGGTGGGTATATTTTTGGTATATCTAAATTCCTGTATTATGTTCTAATCTGGAAATGTTGGATTCCAGGCCATCTTTTAGTTCTAGCTTAGCAGGTGTGCATGGATTGCCTTTTATGTATGGAAGATGGTTAAACTAGCTATTGCAGAAGTAATGTTTGTTAGATTAAAATATCACATGCATCATATAATATGTGATAACAGGATCGACTAACCTTCAGCCATAGTTCTTGATACGGTTGAACGATCCGGACCGGTAGTCTAGTTATTAGGTTATTAGTGTTGCACCACATATTAAATACTGAATATTATCATAACTACTTATCCTAATGTTATAATAATAGTAACGGATAAACGTTACATTCTCTCACTTGGTGCAAGCACTACACTCAATAACAGAAAAACATCAACCATAATGATATGTTCTCATTAGCATGAGCAGTATCCATTATGATCAAATGCAAACTGCCATTAAGTACTTAATTAGCAAAATCTAACGAAATAAACTCTATGTTTATTCCAAGTCCCTGAAGTACATTTTCTCATCAATATAAAGCAAATGAAGGTGTACACACTTAATTGAGAACAAGTCTGAATGTCAAAGAATTTTATTAAAACTGAATGTATATATACAAATTACAAATTGGGCGAAAGTCCCATTTTCTGAATCAGATCCTTGAACTTAAACGGTGGCATGCCTTTAGTCAAGGGATCTGCTAACATCAACTCAGTATGAATGTGTTCAATAAATACAACTTTATTTTTGACACGCTCCCTAATTGCTAAGAACTTGATGTCGATGTGCTTAGTTCGACTTTCACTTTTGGCTTCGCCAGTGCTTTCTTCAGTAACCTCAGGGGGTTTCTCATTGAGAACAGCGTAATCCAACTCTAATAATCTTAATTGCAGGAGAATTGCATCTTTCCACTCCTTGTGATTATCTTCATTAAGGATTGGAACATTAATAGTTTGTGTTTGGGTGATAGGATGAGTTGCTATAAAGAATAATAATTAATGCTTGGTTAGAATTTTCGAGGCACCAAAAATTAGAGAGAGATACTAAAGTACATAATATTACCAATGTAAAATTATGCGAAAGATAAATTCGGATGCCATAAAAATTGCATGTGGGCTAAATTTTTACACATAATGAATTTACCAAAACCGAATGGTGGAAACGGAATGGGTGCGACTTTAATTTTTCCACCCTTAATGACAAAACTACCAAAACTATATGCCGATACATAATCCCTGTGGGGAAATTATGATCATAGTATGGTATTTCATCATAATTAACCCTACAAATATAACAAAATTGCCTGTGGGCTAAATTTTGCCATATCACGCAGAATTAACTACAATATTCTTGTTTTTAGCTTTATGTGAGTAAAACTTAATATGTAATTTTGATAAATTAAAGATGCCGTGGCTACTCTTTAACTAACCAAATAACATAATCACATTAGCAAGAAAGTCTAATAAACAAACAGATTAAACCAAAATATGATAGACAATCCTTAGGTATACTCCCAAAGGAAAGTTAGTCAAGACAAAGCTCGGTTAAAAACCAACTCCTTAGACAGAGTAGTGTCGTAAGGGGACTAGTAGCAACAAGGCTTTTAAGCCAGGGCCATAGAACTAGTATTCCTCCCCAAGAAACTTCCCTAATTCATGTGTTCTCATTTTTGAAGTAAAATCGTTTGAGAGATCTAAAGAGTTGTAGTTTCACCTATGGATAAGGCTTTGAATAGGGTAAACTACGAATTGTTTATGTACTTTATGTGCTTTAGGAACTTTAGAAGCACGAGTGGAGTAATAACTGAAGAGTGAGTAATAATATGCATAATCTAACCTGAAAGGCACTAATTCACCTAAAGGCACTAAATCATGCATAATCAGCATATAATTCAGACCTAAAAGGCTCTAAATTTTTCTTAATGAACATGCTTTTCTACATACATAATTATAACAGTCAAATAATTATTGCAATAAAGAAATAAATAGCATGCTCAGATTATGCATATTACTCACAAATACTCCACAATTAAATTGCAACACTTAATACAATTTAAACTGAAAAACATTATTAAATTAAAATTCAACTGAATAATTATTCAAAGTTGAATAATAATTTAATAATAGACTTAATAAAAAAAATTTCAATTGGATAATTTAGTTAGAAGAAGTCCAAATATGATGAAGATATTAAACTGAATTAATTGATGTAGTTCAAATATCAATTCAGGTTTGACCCAAAACCAAAACAGGCCCAGTAATTTTTTTTATGATGAGCCCAAGTCTAGCCCAATTGGGCCAGACCTGGCCCGTAATTATCATTCATCATCTTCTTCATCAAAACTTCTATAGCGGAGCTGACAGGTGACAATCGTTATGCTATGGACCCGTGTCCAACATGCATGCTGGACACGGGTAACAGTGCCTTATCTTTTTTAAAAAAAGAAAAATTTCCGGCCGCTTCGTTATAGGAGTATATGTTCATAATTTTATTACTATATGTTAATAACTGTACATTCATAACTCCATAACTGTACGTTCATAACTGTAATTTTATTACTATATGTTAACGAATGAGGTCTTTGCAATCTAATCTAATGATTGTAAACAATTCTGATAAAGCTTATTCAAAGATTTGGTATCTTTTATTGGAATATGTGTGAAAAAGACATGCATACCAATTAACGGATGAGATGTTTGCGATCTAATCTAACGGTCGTAAACAATTCTAATAAAGCTTATTCAAAAGATTTGGTATTTTTTATTGGAATATGTGTGAAAAAGACATACATACCAATTAACGAATGAGATCTTTGCAATCTAATCTAACGGTGGTAAACAATTCTGATCATGCCTATAAAAATGCCTTGCATCACCAACATATTTAGCATTCATCCCCTTATCATTTTCGCATATATCCCTAAACATGAATTCCAACACTGGCAAACGTCCTATGCCATTTTCTTCATCATCCTCCTCTTCTTTCTCTTCCTCATCATCATCATCGGATGGTGAGTTTGATCTTGCAAGTGTAATACGAGCACAAACATTATTATTAACCAATGCATATACTAGCCCCAACCTTTCATAGCTTTCTACATGGAAAATATGGTTAATCAATCAAGGGATGAGGAGGAAGAAACCCCTAACAGCGAGAGTGAAAAGGAAGCTGCAGAGGGAGTGAAGAAAGCGAGAAGCGGCAGTAGATTCAGTACAGTACATCTCAGCGACAAACAACCTTCCTTTGAAATCATTGTGAAAAAGAGCCATAAATCTTCCATGGTAATTGCATCCATGCTTATTATATTTTATTTTTTTTTTTGTGGATATGCAACAAATTAAATTCATCAACACCTTTAATTTATTGTTTATTTGTTTTAGACTGTTCCAATGGAGTTTGCTCGGTTCACCGGAATATTGCATGAAAAGATGATAAATCTGAGGTGTGAAAATGGGGCGCCTATTGACGCATGAAGCTGCAAATGGTGAATGCATAGAGAAGAACTTTAACAAGCCTGTAATCTCTTCTGTTAGTAAAGGGAATAAGTTTGTTACAACTTCCCTTCCCGCCATATCTCTGTATAAATAGTTCTCTTGTTCCCCTCTTCAGATTGAATAAAAACAGTTACCATTCTTCATGACTCTCTTTCCTCTCATCCAACTCAAACAGCCGTGAGCTTCCCCTCTGTTTTCCAATATGGTATCAGAGCGCCGGCCAGGCAGTTACGCCGCCGCATTGACCGGCACCGATGAGTCTAGCCAGAGAACTCATCCTTTTCCGGCAACACCAAACGATGAACATCTTGTTCATACTCCCTTCGCAACTGATCTGCAAGGAAACTCTGTTCCGCAGAGGAATGCTAGCCTCGACAACATTGAGAATCCGCTCTATCTGAACATCAACGAAAATCCGAACGCGATTCTCGTGAGTCCTCCACTCACAAGCAGTGGAAATTATGGATCCTGGAGCATTTCTATGCGTGTGGCCCTAGAAGTCAAAAACAAATGGAGCCTCGTAGACGGAAGTGTTGCCATGCCAGAGAAGAATCACGCTCAGTACTCATCGTGGAGAAGATGTAATCTGATAACCTGTTCGTGGATCCTGAGGTCCCTCCATCCGTCAATAGCTCAAAGCGTAATGTATATGGAGAAGGCTAAGGACATCTGGAATGATCTACGAAGACGATTTTCACAACGAGATCCGTAGCGGATCTCGATCCTCCAGAATGAAATATATGATCTGAAACAAGGAGGTCGATCTGTGAATGACTATTACACCGAGTGCCGCACCTTGTGGGAGGAGATGAATTCGCTGAGACCGCTTCCGATCTGCAAGTGTGAGCCGCGGTGCAAGTGTGATCTAGTTGATGAGATCAGAAATGATCGAGAAATCGATCAAATCATCCGATTCTTACAAGGATTAGACGAAGATTACAATTCTCTCAAATCTAGTGTGCTTGTTCTCGATCCGCTACCTGAGATGCATAAGGTCTTTGTTATGGCCGAAAAGTATGAGAGACAGCTAGCCATCACTAAACTGAGCACCGGAACTATAGAAAGCAGTCATGCCAATGCCATGCAAACTACACAAAATTCCACAGATGAGATGATTGCAGCTTTCAATAACTTCAACAGCAGGAAGAATTTTAATTCAAGTGGTGGAAACAAAAGTGCTAAGTGCACATTTTGTGGCATGTCCGGGCACACCATCGAGAAATGCTACAAAAAGCATGGTTATCCACCAGGGTGGATACCAGGCTACAAATCGAAGGGCAAACAGCAAACTGCAGCAGTTTCTTCTGACAGTAATGTATCATCTGAACAGATTCAGAAATTAATCACACTTCTGCAAGCTCAGGCAGGACATGGTCAGACTTCCACCGCAGCAACTGTGTCTCTCATACCAAAATTTAATAAACCTGACCTCAACAATGAAGGCAAGTTTTCTGATCTTTCTTGCATTAATTCTGTTAGCTTGTCTCCCTCAACATGGATTTTAGATTCAGGAGCAACTGATCATATAGCCTGTTCTATTAAGTTTTTTGATGAGTATCACACTATTGAGGGAATGATGGTGAGCTTACCTAATGGAGATCGTGTTACTGTGGAACATGTGGGAAGAATTAAACTGACTGAGGATATATGGTTAACAGAAGTGTTGCACATCCCATCTTTTAACTTCAATATTGTTTCTGCTAGCAAGTTATTGAAAAATTCACCCCACTCATTAATGTTTGCTTCTGATCAGTGCCATCTGAAGGTCCATGGGAGGACGATTGGATTTGCTAAAGAAGAGAAAGGGCTCTATTTGCTTAGCATACCCCCTACTAATACTTGTAATCAGTTTGTTATGCAGTGTAGTATTGATCTTTGGCATCAACGTTTGGGGCACTATCCCACCAATAAAATTCATTTGCTTTGTGATATTCCTGCATCAAATAATAGAAAATTGGCTTGTGATGTATGTCAGTTTGCAAAACACAAGCGATCCTCATTTCCAGTTAGTACAACTATATCAAATGCTTGCTTTGATCTGGTACATGTCGACATTTGAGGCCCCTTTCAAGTTAAATCATTATGTGGAGAAAGGTATTTCTTGACTATAGTTGATGACTACTCTAGATATACATGGTTAAGATTGATGAAATGCAAATCAGAAACTAGGGCTTTAATAAAAGATTTCTATAAGCTCGTTCAAACCCAATTTGGTATGTCCATCAAGGCCATACGCAGCGACAATGGATTAGAATTCAATATGGAAAGTTTTTTTGCTGACAATGGCACTATCCACCAGAGAACTTGTGTGTATACACCCCAGCAAAATGCTGTGGTTGAACGCAAACATCAACACGTACTAAGTGTGGCTCGTGCTCTTCGGTTCCAAGCTGGTTTCCCTCTTGAGTTCTGGGGACAGTGTGTGATTCACGCTGTCTACTTGATAAACAGACTCCCCACTGCTGTTTTGGAGTGGTCTAACCCTTATTTCAGGTTATATGAAAGAGAACCGGATCTTAGTAATCTCAGGGTTCTTGGCTGCTTGTGCTATGCTGCGAATCTGTCTCCTTCTCGTCATAAGATGGACACTAGAAGCAAGAAGTGTGTCTTAATTGGAATGCCTGCAGGAATAAAGGGGTACTTGTTATTTGACATAATCAACAAGTCTACACTTATATCTCGTGATGTGGTTTTCTATGAGGATCAATTCCCTTTGGCAGAACAGAACAAGCATATGGTTGGCAGAACAGAACAAGCTATAAACCCTTCACTGCCAAATATTTCTACTATGGATTGTGAAGAAGTTCCCACTCAGACACATCATGAGACTATGCAGCATCCTCTAAATATCATGTCAGACACACCATCTCCTTCCCATCATTCCTTGCAGAATGTTGATTATAATGATGGGTCCAATTCTCCAAATAATGATGAGCATGATGTTGATGAAAACAACATAGTGGACACAGCTCCTGCTTCAAATCATGATCATCAGCCTCGGAGGTCTACTAGGCAACGCCAAGCTCCCAGCAAGCTACATGACTATTATTGTGATGCTCTATTCCAAAACAGCTCCAGTTCACCACATTTTCTGTCAAAAGTTGTGGCTTATGATCATCTTGCACCCTCTCACAAAGCCTTTGCCATGGCTGTCACCACTGCCAACGAGCCAAAATCTTACAAACAAGCTGCCCAGCATGACTGTTGGCAGAAAGCTATGAATGCGGAGATTAGTGCCCTCCAAGAAAACAAGACGTGGGAACTCACGGATTTGCCCCCGGGAAAAACACCTATAGGGTGCAAATGGGTGTTCAAAGTAAAGCTCAAAGCCGATGGAACGATTGAACGACATAAATCTCGCCTCGTAGCTAAAGGCTACACACAACAACTTGGAATCGATTATCTGGAAACTTTTTCTCCGGTTGCAAGGTTAACCACCATCCGTACTTTTCTTGCTGCAGCAGTATCTAGAAACTGGTTCATCCATCAAATGGACATCAACAACGCCTTTTTGCATGGTGAATTGAACGAGGAGGTTTACATGCTTTTACCACCAGGCTTTGAAAGCACGAAACCAAACCAAGTGTGTAGATTACTCAGGTCTTTATATGGACTCAAACAAGCAAGTAGGCAATGGAATGCCAAACTCACCACTGCTCTTGTTCAAGTTGGTTTCAAGCAGTCCTCGGCTGATCCATCTTTGTTTATAAAAGGGAAAGGTGATGATCTAATTGCATTGCTCATTTACGTTGATGATATACTAGTTACCAGTGCTAAAATGAATCTCATTGATTCTCTCAAGAAGTTCCTGGATAACATGTTTAAGATTAAAGATTTGGGGCAGTTAGGCTATTTTTTAGGAATTGAGGCAACCATGTCAGCAGAAGGCTTGAATCTCTGTCAACGAAAATATGCTCTAGACATTTTGGAAGAATCTGGTTTCATTGGATGTAAACCAGTGAAGACTCCTATGATGCAGGGCCTAAAACTATTACACAATGAAGGCACCCCCCTCTCTGATGCACCTTCATACAGAAGATTGGTAGGAAGACTGCTCTACCTCACAGCCACTAGGCCTGATATTGTTTACGCTGTTCAACAATTAAGCCAGTTCGTTGATGCTCCTACTGACGTGCACCTCTCAGCTGCTCATCGTGTGTTACGATATATAAAAAGTTCACCAGGCCAAGGGCTACTGTATTCTGCAAAAACCAGTCCCAACCTTAAGGCCTTCTCCGACTCAGATTGGGCAGCCTGCTGTGAGACTCGCAAATCCATTACAGGTTATTGCGTTTTCCTTGGATCTGCTCTAGTCTCATGGAGATCGAAGAAGCAAGCCACAGTTTCGAAATCCTCCTCTGAAGCTGAGTATCGTGCCCTTGCTGCTGTTGTATGTGAGGTCCAATGGATTCAGTATTTACTCACTGATTTGCAGATTAAACCATCCATGCCAGCCACAGTGTTTTGTGATAACAAATCTGCAGTTGCCATCGCCGAAAACCATGTCTTCCACGAGCGAACAAAGCACATTGACATCGATTGTCATATAGTGCGGGAGAAATTAAGCAAAGGATTGATAAAGCTTCTGTCCGTGACCTCGGCGAATCAAGTGGCTGATGGCTTCACTAAACCTCTGCCTATTTCTTTGTTCCAAAGCTTCACGTCTAAGCTGGGGATACATAATCTGCATGCCCCAGCTTACGGGGGGGTATTGACGCATGAAGCTGCAAATGGTGAATGCATAGAGAAGAACTTTAACAAGCCTGTAATCTCTTCTGTTAGTAAAGGGAATAAGTTTGTTACAACTTCCCTTCCCGCCATATCTCTGTATAAATAGTTCTCTTGTTCCCCTCTTCAGATTGAATAAAACAGTTACCATTCTTCATGACTCTCTTTCCTCTCATCCAACTCAAACAGCCGTGAGCTTCCCCTCTGTTTTCCAATAGCGCCTCAGAAAATGGAGATAGCATCGTCGGAGAAGAGAGTCCGTCTGATCAACGGATGGAAGTCTTTCCGAGAAGCCAACAAGATCAAGAATGGGGATAGGTGTTCCTTCACCTTGGTTAATCCTGACAGCACAGAAACTATGGTTCTGTTGGTTAAAAAACTACTCAAATGAAAATGGATAAATTAAGAATATATATATGCAGAGTTCCATACATTGTAGTAACAAACCACCATGTCTACAGAGTTCCATGGTGTTTTTATTTACTTGGGTGTTTTGGAGTAAAAACAACTTTTGCAGACTGATACATGAGTACTGATCACCAGGTACAACGTTACTGTTAATAAAAATAAACTTAATGCCCAAACACAGTAGTAGGAAGGCGCGGTGTGAGAAACACCTTAAGAGGAGTGGCTTTCGCATTTACGAGCCCTGCACTTCCACTCATATCTACTTTTTCATCGGATGGGAGGGCGAAATCGAAGCAATGTAGCAAGGTGGCCAGACAAATATATAGAGTCTGCAACGAGAGTTGTATCCCGGGGCAAGATCTCCTCCCGGATCCAAATGGAATGAGCTCAAAATGCTGCCCCCTGACATCGATGTCTTTATGAGTTGTCAAGAACCTCTCTGGCTGAAACTCGTTTGGCTCGGGCCATATGCTTTCATCGCGATGAATCTTCCAAATGTTTATCATCAATCTTGTACCGGCTGGCACATGGTAGCCATTTGACAAGGTGCAGTCCTTGAGTGAAGAACGTAAATCATTGACTGGGCCTGGTGGGTAGAGACGGAGGGTTTCTTTGATCACAGCTTGGAGAAAGATTAAGTTCTTTATGTCAGATTCATCAACATTTCTGTCCCTTCCAATTTGAGTGTCCAGCTCCTCTTGAACCTTATCAAGCATAGTGCGATTGTTCAATAGCAAAGACAATGCCCAAGTTAGAGTCACAGCTATTACATCACTTCCTGCTACTAACATATTCTGCAAATTATATTAAAACACTCCAACTGGTTAATATTGCAGTAAATAATAACACTTTAAATTTTGTATAAACTTTCAAGAACTCACCAAGCATGTAGCTTTGATTATGGTATCTGCATCGAAGCCAGAAATTTGTGCATCTTCCATGATTTCAAGCATTACATCCATGAAATCGCGTGCTCCCTTGCCCTCCTGGGAGATCCTCCTCTTCTTATGTTCTTCCAACCACCCTCCTACAAGGTTGTCTAGCTCTTTCGCAATTCTCTTCATCGATTTCTTGTGCCTTCCAAAGTCCAGCCACTCAAGAAAAGGGAAAAAATCAGACAACACAAACACACCAAAGATGTTAAAGAATTCTCTAATCACTTTGTTGCATCTTCTTCCCTCTTCCTTGTTGCAATCTCCGGTGAACCTCTTCCCTCCGACCATCCTCACTGACATGTTCTGGGCCAGGGTTCCAAACCACAGCGTCAAATCCACCATGACACCATGCTCAGGACTTCCACTGAAAACCCATAACTCATACAGCTCTTTAATGGAAGTCACCAGTTCTGATGTCCTTATTGGCTTCAGCATATCAACTTGGCGAGTGGAGAGAAGATGAAGAGTGACAATCTTGCGCATCTCTCGCCAATATTCCCCGTAAGGACCAAGCCCAAAGAAAGCATAGTTATAGCCAAGAAGCTTAGAAGCGGCTATTCTCGGCCGGTCGCTGAAAGCCTTGTCGTGAGTGGTGAAACACTCCCTTGCCATTTCCCAACTACTTATGACCAAAGCTTGATGACTGCCCAGCTTTATCGCCATCGCCGGTCCATGCTTGTCGGCCATGGCGCCGAGGACTTCATACATAAGTTTGCCGCCACTGAAGCAGTGCAGGTGGCCGATAACCGGCAAAGCGCCATCTGGTTGTGGCAAACTCCGGCCCTTTATCTCAGCAACTCGTCTCCTTGACTGAAAGTAATAATGAACCAAGAAAATCAAGGCGCAGAGACTTGATGCAAATGTTAGAAGGAATTGGAATGTTTGATCCATGATCGAAAGGTTGTAACATGGAAAGCAAGTTTAAACCAAGTGGCCGGACTAAACAATTTCAAGTGTCGGTAGGGACTGGCTGATATTTTATTGTGAATTTGCGGTTAACAATTTTTATACTTATAAACAAATTGAATGCACATATTGATTAACATATTATGTATCTGTAATTAATATAATATGTACATACAATTAGCAATTATGTATATGTAGTTAGGAATAAGGGTCAAATAGCCCACTCAACTGCACACGGCAATTTATATCCTACACCACGGCGCGCGTTGCACTATGCGCCCAGATGCAAAACGACGTCGTTTTAATTTTTTTTTTTTTTTTGAAATTTCCCGCCCCAGTGAATGGTAGTAGTTTTTTCTTTAAAAAAAAACCTGCTGTTCAAGAATGTACATAATATTATACTAGAATACACATAATTGTATACATGAATGTACATAATTATATAACAAAATATACACTCTTTTAAAAAGATAATACACATAATCTAACATAATACATAATAAACATAAACTTTTAACATAATACACATCAACTAGACAACTATTAATATAATACACACAAATTTTCTGATTCGGATGTACATAACTGTATAAAAAGAATGTACATAATTGTATAAAAAATGTACATAACTGTATGAACTAATACATATAACTGTATGAACAAATATACATAACTGTGTGAACAAATACACATAATCCCAGCAACTTCCTACCGCGCCTCCCAAAACGACGTCGTTTTGGGAGGCGCGCGACGCACAGTGCTATGTGCGCCGTGGTGTAGGGTATAACGATTGACTGCACACCAACATGCAATTAGGCCATTCAACTCAAAAAAAAAAAAAAGCAATTGGGTCACTAAACAACACAAAATTATGCAATTTGACCCAAAATTACTTGTTCACCTGAATAGGAGGTTATTAAATTTAAAAATATTTTTTTACAATAATTTTAATTAAAATAAATATTTAAAATAAAAAAAATAAAAAAAAAAAACCGCCAGAGACGATGAAGTCTTCGTCTCCTGGCCGGAGACGAAGTTACCTTCGTCGTCTCCGGCCATGGAGATGAAGAAACCTTCGCCTCCATGGCCTGGGGACGAAGGTCACTTCATCTCCATGGCCGGAGAAGACGAAGGTAATTTCGTCTCCGGCCAGGAGACAAAGCGACCAGCCGGAGACGAAGATTTCTTCATCTCCGGCAGTTTTTTTTTTTTTTAATTTTTTTATTTTAAATATTTATTTTAATTTAAAATTATTGTTAAAAATTATTTTTAAATTAGTAACCTTCTATTCAGGTAAACAAGTAAATTTTGGGTCAAATTGCATAAGTTTGTGTTGTTTAAGGATCCAATTACATTCTTTTTGAGTTGGATGACCTAATTGCATGTTGGTGTGTAGTTGAGTGGCCTATTTGACCCTTATTCCTATGTAGTTATCATGTTATGCATCTATACGCAATTACCATGTGATATGTCTTCAATTTTTACAGGTACAGAAACTGTTAGTACAAAATGTATAGTATTTACTGCAGGTACAAAATCCGAAGGCTATTTTAAAATCATGTTCTATAATATAAGATAGACCTTGATCCATGGTATAATTTGTCATCATTCACCATGTCGACCAAAGTTTCGTGTCCAAATTGAAGTGATTCTTTACTCTTTTTTTTTTTTTTGGGGGGGGGGGGGTGGGGGGTGGGGGGGTTAAATAATTGGTGATGGTGAGAATGGGATTTGAGGTACAAGGATGACTACGATTCAGTTCAAACTAAAGCAAAACGATAATTGTAGGGACGATTTCAATTCTGATTAGATAATATAAGAAACCGGAATCTCGTTCAAACTGAAAAAAAAAAATCAAAACAAAACAAAATAAAACTATGCCACTACATAACTTAGAGCATCAATATCAGTGAATATTGAGGGATTTTTGGAACAGTAGCGGATGAGGTGGTGGAGAGAGAATGCAAGAGAGAAGATATTTGTTTATTTGTAAGAGAGGAGTTTATTGTAGAAATGTGAGACCCACTGAAAAAATATGTCAGTCGTGCGCACGCCGCGTGCGTGTCGCAAGTGCGCCCAGCACGTCAGGCGCGCTGACAATTAACTTTTCTTCTTAAAAAAAAAAAAAAAAACAAACAAACAAACAAACAAACAAAAATGTTTTTTTTTCCTCTCCATTTTCATATTCTCTTTCCTAATCACACTTATAAAAACTCCTCAAAAATCACAAAAAAAATTCACTATTATGGATGCTCTTAGTATTATTTAGGACCACATAGGAATTATATCAAATCATTTTCTCAAAAAAAAAAAAAAATCAATGATAAGACTTTTTTGTCTACTTGTATAGTGTATAGGCCCACCGAAGAGGGATGTCATGCATGTTTCATGTGAAAATACAATATTTTTTCATGTGAAAAATACAATATTAGTATATATGATGCATATAATTTATATTTTCTAGTGATTATAGTACAAAAATATCTAGAATAACATGCACATGAATAGTACTTCGGCATTAATGGTGCGGAGGGCAAGCACTATTCAAATATAATTATTTTCACACATAAATTATCAATTTAAATGTCACGTAATAATATAAAAAAATTAATTGTTAAATTTGGACTATTATAAAAATATATAATATAATTAAAAAATAGTTTGAACTGCTAGTTTTGATTTGCCATTTTCCTGAACCATCAATCATCAGTTCCGAATTGGAACCCTGCTGTGATCATGTCTAGCTGTAATAGGTAAATCACGAATCCTCTACGTAGATTCTCCGTCAATATCTGTCGTTGGCTTTACGCATGGAGTCACCCAACCCCCACCCTGTCACTATCATGTGATCGATCTCTTAAGCTAACCTTGCGCGTTTCAATCTTCTCACTAAATGTCTTAAACTGTTAACTAAATCTAAAAAAAATGCAAAAGAACATATTATTTTTTTGGAATAAGGTTCAAATTGGCCACTAAACGTAACATGAAAAGGCAATTAGGTCACTGAACGAAAAAAAAAAAAAAGTGCAATTGGGCCACTGAACATTTTAAATGTATGCAATTTCACCTGATAGCAGGTTACCATCAATTTTAGCAGGTTACCTACATATGTGGCAGCTAAATTGGCATTTTTAATAAATTATTAAAAAAAAAAACAACACGGTGGCGGGCATTTTATTTATTTATTATTTTTATTACTTTTTTTTTTCAATTTTTTAATAAATAATTATTACAAATTATTAAAAATGTCAACTCAACTGTCACGTAAGTAGGTAACCTGCTATCGGTGAAATTGCATACATTTAGAGTGTCTGATGGCCTAATTGCACATTTTTAGAGTTTTCAGTGACTTAATTGCACTTTTTTTTTTTTTTTTTCGTTCAGTGACCTAATTGCATTTTCAGGTTACGTTCAGTGTCCAATTTGAACTTTATTCCTATTTTTTTTCTTAATTAAAATATTTTTATTTCTTTAGATATGAAATAAATGAATGAGTTGGTTAGACTATTAGCTTGATAATCAGGATGTTGTAAATTTTACTAATGAATTGCGAATTTTCTTCGTGCAGTGATTGAAGTATGAGTAACTAATCTTGTGTCACGCATGTGTGTGTGGGGAGGTGTTAGAGTCAGCCAAGCATATATATGTTCATGGATTGCCATCAAGTCGCATGCATGTAGTCTACGATGGGGCTATCAATATCGAGTCAAGGTGGCGGGGAACTAATTGATTGGTTCTTTGAGCAGTTTGAAAATCTTAGCAGGTAGAGTGACGTTGATGTAGAAACAGACTCTCAATTAATTATTAATGCTTTGCTTTCAAATCATTTTACTTAACCTAAGTTACAAGACGAACCTAAGACCTCTCATTTGAAAGAACTATAAAAGTACCATTGATTTACAAATTAGTTGGGGCAAACAAACTAGTATTTATATGGAGTAAACATATTGTTCGTAAATTAGTAACACTAATGTTCACATACATCGTAAATTAGTAACATCAAATTTCTTAAAATACAGTTAATGAACCCTGCGGATCCGATGGCCTTATCTTCTTGGAGATCTCAGTTGAGGTGACAAGCCAGCAGTGACGTCAAACAAGTCTAGCTACCTTCACGTAAAGGAAGTCTATGTTCAGATTTCTTATTATGGAGTTTGGGACTTGGGAGTTGATGAGCTTCTCCATTTAACTTTGCATTGCATACTCAAAACTTCACTGTAAACTCTTCCTTTCCATCTTCTTTCTGCACAAATTATTGTTTATTTGTTTTAGACTGTTCCAATGGAGTTTGCTCGGTTCACCGGAATATTGCATGAAAAGATGATAAATCTGAGGTGTGAAAATGGGGCGCCTCAGAAAATGGAGATAGCATCGTCGGAGAAGAGAGTCCGTCTGGTCTACGGATGGAAGTCTTTCCGAGAAGCCAACAAGATAAAGAGTGGGGATAGGTGTTCTTTCACCTTGGTTAATCCTGACAGCACAGAAACTATGGTTCTGTTGGTTAAAAAACTACTCAAATGAAAATGGATAAATTAAGATCGAATATATATCATCTCATTGCTGCGCCGACAAAACGTGGAATGAATTGATGTTAAGCACAAGTTTTTGGATCTTTTCTGCTACTATGTTTTTGTGTAAATTTTCTGGGTAGATTGAATCTACAGTGTATAATTTTTGCAAGCTTTTTGACTTTCTGGGTGCAGTACTGTACTGTGAATCTAAAAACCAAATGCCCTTACTTCGAATGAAACCATTGTAAAGAATAGTCACTAGACTTTCATGGTATTTAACTTCTTGCATACTATACGTATATATTTTGTTTCAATGGCTGTGCAAACCAATCTCTCTTTTAATTCCCGTATTTTTTAATCATAATATGCATTTTTGTCGGTTTGATCCAACCACTCCTCTATGCTCTTGATTTCTCTTTGCAATTTGTAGTTGTTGGTGTTTAATAGACTCATGCACAAATAGATCTTCTATCAAATGTAAATTCATTTTCAAAATTTTGTTTTCTTCTTTACGTTTTGTCAATGCTATTTTTTCTTTTGCTATTGTTACTGTTAGGGATATACCTTTGCCTCCTGGCATGCTACGGTCGGTTCCGTAGGGTGCCGTCACGCAGGTCCTAAACCGACTGTCACCGACCCTCGGCTCCATCTCGACCACTTTGGGACTGGTCGGCAAGACAGCGGCGAAGCGTGTGTCTGAACGCTAACCCCACGTGTCGCGAGGGCCGGGCTATGTCCCCTTACATCCCCTATAAATACCCGCATTTATTACAGAGGGGGACTTTTGGACTGACTTGACACCTAGGCCACTTGATTGGAGGCTACCGACCCACTGTCACGAGGCCCCGCAACCGAGTGCCCGTATTCAGTACTCTACATACGCATCCGTATTTGTAGTATCAATTACTTTGTCTGTTGCAGTTTGAGCTTCAAACAAATGATTGTGTTCGAACATTCCTTTGAACTGTGCAGTTTGTTGGTTCCATTGCAGCAATAAATTGATTGCGCTCATCATAGAGTTGTTTCTTCATCTTTTCATTCTTCCTTCCCGTAGGACGTTCATCTACATTGTTCATTTCATTACAATGATCATCAGTTTCGAAATCATCATTCAAATCAATAGCAAATGAGCATGAGCTTATTGACTTCTCGATTCTCAAAGATTGTGATTGTGATCCTTCCGTAGTTCTTTTTCGACCTCCAACATTTGGCGAGCTCCCAGTTTTACAAAATTTCTGCATGTCTTTGACAATATGTCATACATGATCAAATTTAAATTCTTTTTTGTATTTGGACTTTTGCATTAGTAACTCATTTGCTCTATCAAGTTATAAAAAAAAATTATAATTCAAATTAAACAACGAAATTAAGACAAAAAAGATGAGATAACTAAACAACACAAATTTACAAGATACTCACAATATCTTGTTCAAATGCACCACTTGGTTCATGTTCTCTAGTTGTTGAATGCATCCTCTTAGTTTGCTGATCGCTGTCGATATATTTGCCCAGCGAGTTTGCAGCAATCTCCATGGTTGATCAATATCAATGTGTGCCGGTAACATTTGTTTAGATTCTTGCGCAATGAGTTCCCATAATTAGCGATCGTTGCCCTTTACAGGATGTTGGGTAATATCCATAAATATACTACAAAGTAGTTTGTCTTCCTCATTTGAGTATGAGGCAATTCGAATTGAACGTGAGGGGTTTGACATATTTCAATGAGATTTTGAGATTCAAAAGAGGGGTGATATTACTTCTAAAATCTAATTGTAGTATTTATAGAGTTATAAGGAATCCAACTAACTGTTGAGATCTTTGCGATCTAATCCAACGTTTGCAAACAATTCTGATAAAACTTATTCAAAAGATTGAGTATCTTTTATTGGAATATGTGTGAAAAAGATATGCATACCAATTAACGAATGAGATCTTTGCGATCTAATCTAACGGTGGTAAACAATTCTGATAAAGCTTATTCAAAGATTTGGTATCTTTTATTGGAATATGTGTGAAAAAGACATGCATACCAATTAACGGATGAGATCTTTGGAATCTAATCTAACGGTTGTAAACAATTCTGATATGCCTATAAAAAAGTCCTTTCATCACCCACATATTGAGCATTCATCCCCTTATCATTTTAGCATATATCCCTAAACATGAATTCCAACAGTGGCAAACGTCCTATGCCATTTTCTTCTTCATCCTCCTCCTCCTCCTCTTCTTCATCTTCCTCCTCATCATCATCGGATGCTGAGTTTGATCTTGCAAGTGCAATACAAGCACAAACATTGTTATTAACCAATGCATATACTAGCTGCAACCTTGCCATAGCTTTCTACATGGAAAATATGGTTAATCAATCAAGGGATGAGGAGGAAGAAACCCCTGACAGCGAGAGTGAAAAGGAAGCTGCAGAGGGAGTGAAGAAAGCGAGAAGCGGCAGTAGATTCAGTACAGTAAATCTCAGCGACAAACAACCTTCCTTTGAAATCATTGTGAAAAAGAGCCATAAATCTTCCATGGTATTTGCATCCATGCTTATTATATATATATATATATATATATTTTTTTTTTTTTTGTGGATATGCAACAAATTAAATCCATCAACACCTTTAATTTATTGTTTATTTGTTTTAGACTGTTCCAATGGAGTTTGCTCGGTTCACCGGAATATTGCATGAAAAGATGATAAATCTGAGGTGTGAAAATGGGGCGACTCAGAAAATGGAGATAGCATCGTCGGAGAAGAGAGTCCGTCTGATCAACTGATGGAAGTCTTTCCAAGAAGCCAACAAGATCAAGAATGGGGATAGGTGTTCCTTCACCTTGGTTAATCCTGACAGCACAGAAACTATGGTTCTGTTGGTTAAAAAACTACTCAAATGAAAATGGACATGTATGCAGAGTTCCATACATTGTAGTAACAAACCACCATGTCTACAGAGTTCCATGGTTTCTTATTTACTTGGGTGTTTTGGAGTAAAAAACAACATTTGCAGACTGATACATGAGTACTGATCACCAGGTACAACGTTACTGTTAATAAAAATAAACTTAATGCCCAAACACAGTAGCAGGAAGGCGGGGTGTGAGACACACCTTAAGAGGAGTGGCTTTCACATTTATGAGCCCTGCACTCTCACTCATATCTATTTTTTCATTTGATGGGAGGGCGAAATCAAAGCAATGTAGCAAGGTGGCCAGACAAATATGTAGAGTCTGCAACGAGAGTTGTATCCCGGGGCAAGATCTCCTCCCAGATCCAAATGGAATGAGTTCGAAATGTTGGCCCCTGACATCGATGTCTTTATGGGTTGTCAAGAACCTCTCTGGCTGAAACTCGTTTGGCTCGGGCCATATGCTTTCATCGCGATGAATCTTCCAAATGTTTATCATCAATCTTGTACCGGCTGGCACATGGTAGCCCTGTGACAAGGTGCAATCCTCGAGTGAAGAACGCAGACCGTTGACTGGGCCTGGTGGGTAGAGACGGAGGGTTTCTTTGATCACGGCTTGGAGAAAGACTAGGTTCTTTATGTCAGATTCATTGACGTTTCTGCCTCTTCCAATTTGAGTGTCCAACTCCTCTTGAACCTTATCAAGTATAGAACGATTGTTCAGTAGCAAAGACAATGCCCAAGTTAGAGTCACAGCTATTGCATCACTTCCTGCTACTAACATATTCTGCAAATTAAAACACTCCTGCTGGTTAATATTGCAGTTTAAATAAAACCCTTTAAATTTTGCATAAACTTAACGTTCAAGAACTCACCAAGCATGTAGCTTTGATTATGGTATCTGCATCGAAGCCAGAAATTTGTGCATCTTCCATGATTTCAAGCATTACATCCATGAAATCGCGTGCTCCTTTGCCCTCCTCGGACATCCTCCTCTTCTTATGTTCCTCCAGCCACCTGCCTACAAGGTTGTCTAGCTCTTTCGCAATTCTCTTCATCGACTTCTTGTGCCCTTGCAAGTCCAGCCAGTCAAGGAAGGGGAAAGAATCAGACAACACAAACACACCAAAGAAGTACAGGAATCCTCTGATCACTTTTTCGCACCTTCTCGCCTCTTCCTTGTTGCAATCCACGCCGTCTCCGGTGAACCTCTTCCCTCCGACCATCCTCACTGACATGTTCCGGATCAGGTTTACAAACCACGGCTGCAAATCCACCATGACACCACGGTTAGGATTTCCACTGCTAACCCATAACTCATACAGCTCTCTGATGGAAGTCTCCAGTTCTGATGCTCTTATCGGCTTCAGCATATCAACCTGCCGGTTAGACAGGAGATGGAGAGTGGAAATCTTGCGCACCTCTCGCCAATATTCCCCGTAAGGAGAAAGCCCGAAGAAAGCATAATCATAGCCAAGAAGCTTAGAAGCAGCTAGTCTCGGACGGTCACTGAATACCTTGTCGTGAGTGGTGAAACACTCCCTTGCCATTTCCCAACTACTTATGACCAAAGCTTGATGACTGCCCAGCTTTATCCCCATCGCCGGTCCATACTTGTCGGCCATGGCACTGAGTACTTTATAAATAAGTTTGCCACCGCTGAAGCAAAGCAGGTGGCCAATAACAGGCAAAGCGCCATCAGGCTGTGGCAAACTCCGGCCCTTAATTTCAGCAACTTGTCTCCTTGACTGAAAGTAACGAACCAAGAAAATCAAGGCACAGAGAGTTGATGCAAAAGTTAGAAGAAGTTGGAATCTTTGATCCATCTCCATATCCAAATGGTTGGACTAAACAGTTTCAAGAAAATCAACGAGTTTATCATAATTTCATTGAAAGGCGTGTTGAGCTGGACTGGTCATTGTCTTTGCTTGTCTTATTGAGAGAAATATTGACTAAGAACGAATCATGAGTGTATGATAGGCTAATAAAGTCATATATAGCTACAAAAGTAGAAATGTATACAAAGATATTTGTGCATTAGGGACAAATTATATGATCTAAATTGTTTCTTTTAGTCCTACTTTTAATTTTTCGATTAGTTCTGGCTTTTTAATTCAGAAACTTTGTATACTAATTTAGATCACAGAATAGCACTGCAGATCAGAAGATGCGGCACTTACAAATTAAAGTCATAAGAATCCATCTTTCAAGATTCAAATCGAGCCCAGCAGCTGATGGAAGTAAATGAGAATGGCCAATTCCAATTGCTTGAAACATTGCCTAGATACAATTCACAAATCAAAAGTTGTCATAAGAACCAGTTTAAGATTGAGATGATTCTCCCTGGTATGTTTTTCCCATCAAAGCAATCACTCCTAGGACACTTTAAACACATTATGGTATCCTTTCACATTAAAACAGAAAAGATTATTCAATTAGACTACTCAAAAATAGGCATTGCTTAGTCTGACAAGGGCATGACTGCAGAAATAAACTGTGTTTTGGAACCCTAACAATACTGCTACCAATAAATATCCAAAAAAAAAAAAAAAAAAATCTGAACTTTATAACTGCGAAGCCAATCTTTGAACACCAAAAGCACACCCAAAGACATTCGAACACCACCTTAAAAGTTACAATAAAGAAAGCATGTTTTACGCCAACACGTACCAAATTGAGCTCATTCCCATCTTGAATGTACCGAGAAATGCCGCTCGAGAGGGCGATTTATTACCCGGAAGACAAGGAGGAGTAGACGCTTGTTCTCAATTGAGCTCCTCTTCTCCGAAGCTGCGCCCAAAGTTCGCGGCATTCTTGAGAGAATTTTGGTTCTGGGGTTATTAAAGAAGGGTAGTTTATGAGTTATATGCTGGTGTTTTCTGAAGCCATTGAGTTACGGCTTATGAGTGTAAATGCAAGGTGGACTGCTCAAAAATTAATATGATTGTGAAGTTCGAGAGATGTGAGCTTTTCTGCCACCACTTTGCGGTGGAGATACGGGCGGCGCGGCCGTGGCAGGAGGGAGAAGAGAGGGCGATGAATGGTATGAAGCGTCGTCGTTTCAAACTGAAGCCAAGAGCTTAAGCTGTGGACTAATCGAAAAACTAAATAGTAAATATGAAGTAGACATATTGTTCGTAAATCAACAACACTAATCTTGACATACATTGTAATAACAAACCACAATGTCTACATACTTTGGTATTTCATATAGATTAAACACAACATTTGAAAACTGATACATGAATATTGATCATCATATATATATTTCTGAAACTAAAAGATTAAGCTAATGCTCAAACAGAGTAGACTTAAGACGCGGTGTAAGACACACCTTAAGAGGAGTGGCTTTCGCATTTATGAACCCTACACTCTCACTCATGTCTATTTTTTCATTGGATGGGAGTGTGAAATCAAAGCAATGTAGCAAGGTGGCTAGACAAAGATGCAAGGTCTGCAAAGAGAGTTGTATCCCAGGGCAAAATCTCCTCCCAGATCCAAAAGGAATGAGTTCAAAATGTTGTCCCCTAACATCAATGTCTTTATGGGTTGTCAAGAATCTCTCTGGGCGGAACTCATATGGCTCGGGCCATATGTTTTCATCGTGATGAATCTTCCAAATGTTTACCATCAATCTAGTACCGACTGGCACGTGGTAACCTTGTGACAAGGTGCAGTCCTTGAGCGAAGAACGCAAAGCATTGACTGGACCAGGAGGGTATAGACGCAATGTTTCTTTGATCACAGCTTGGAGAAAAACTAGATTCTTTATATCAGATTCATCCACATTTCTATTTCTTCCAACCTGAATGTCCAGTTCCTCTTGAACCTTATCAAACATAGCGCGATTGTTCAATAGCAAAGATAGTGCCCAAGTTAGAGTCTCAGTTATTCCATCACTTCCTGCTACTAACATATTCTGCAAAATAAATTAAAACACCTCTGGTTAATATGTGAGTAAACAACTTGTAAATTTGTAATAATACCACTTCAGAATTCAGATCGATTTTGCATATATATATATATATATATATATGAACTGCTTTTTCAAGAACTCACCAAACATGTTGCCTTGATTATGGTATCTGCATCAAACCCAGAAATTTGTGCATCGTCTTCCATGATTTCAATCATTACATCCATGAAATCCTGTGGTCCCATGCCCTCCTCGGACATCCTCCTCTTCTTATGTTCCTCCAACCACCCTGCTACGAGGTTGTCGAGCTCTTTCGCGATTCTCTTCATCGATTTCTTGTGCCCTTGCAAGTCCAGCCACTCAAGAAAAGGGAAAGAATCAGACAACACAAACACGCCAAAGAAGTAGAGGAATTCTTTGATCACTTTCTCGCACCTTCTTGCCTCTTCCTTGTTGCAATCCACGCCGTCTCCGGTGAGCCTCTTCCCTCCGACCATCCTCACCGACATGTTCCGGATCAGGTTTCCAAACCAGGGCCGCAAATCCGCCATAATGAAACCACGCTCAGGATTTCCATTGCTAACCCACAACTCATACAGCTCTCTAATGGAAGTCTCCAGTTCTGATGTTCTTATGGGATTCAGCATCTCAACTTGCCGGTTAGAGAGAAGATGGAGAGTGACAATCTTGCGCATTTCTCGCCAATATTCCCCGTAAGGAGCGACGCCGAAGAAAGCATAATCATAGCCGAGAAACTTAGAGGCGGCTATTCTCGGACGGTCGCAGAATGCCTTGTCGTGAGTGGTGTAACACTCCCTCGCCATTTCCCAACTACTTATGACCAGAGCTTTATGGCTGCCGAGCTTTATCGCCATCGCCGGTCCATGCTTGTCGGCCATGGCGCCGAGGACTTTATACGTAAGTTTGCCACCGCCGAAGCAGAAAAGGTGGCCGATAACCGGCAAAGCGCCGTCCGGTTGCGGCAAACTCCGGCCTTTTATGTCAGAAACCCGTCTCCGCCTTGACTGAAAGTAACGAGCCAAGAAAATCAAGGCGCAGAGAGTTGATACAAAAGTTAGAAGAAGTTGGAATCTTTGATCCATGGATGTTTGTGATATGGAAGAGGCGTCAGACATGGCGGTTCAGAATGTCTCTGCTAAGCAACTGTAGTGTATCTGATACATATCCAAATGCTCGGAGTTATAAACAGGTTCAAGAGAGACAGGGCGGGCCCTGGGCAAGTCTTCCCAGGGCCGGCGCACAGGAACCCCAAATTTTGGGGGCCCCATATTTAAAAAAAAATTATGTGTATATATATATCAGTAATTGCGATTTCGAACAAAGAAAAATATCTACAGCTGCAGCTCTGAACAAACTAAGCGACAAACTCTGAAACTCACAAACCTACCCTAAATCCCTAATCTAGCGTCTAGCGGTAGATAGAGACACAAAGTAACAGAAGAGACTAAAGAGACTACTACAATTTCAATTTGCATAGGTAATTGATGATGTAATTTAAATATTTAATTTGACTTATTTGCATTATTGAGACTGTTGTAGTGCTTATAGTCTTAGATTAGGTAAATTAAATTGGGTCAATTATATTCTTAATTCATTGCTATTTGGTTGTTTGTAATCTTTATGTAATAATTTAAATATTCAATTTGGTTGTTTATTTGTATTATTTACTCGGACCGGCCCTGGGCAAGTCTTCCCAGGGCCGGCGCACAGGGCCCCCAAATTTTGGGGGCCCCATATTTTAAAAAAAAAATTGTGTGTATATATATATATATATCGGTAGTTGCGGTTTCAAACAAAGAAAAATATCGGCAGCTTCGGCTCCGAACAAACTAAGCGAAAAACTCTGAAACTCACAAACCTACCCTAAATCCCTAATCTAGCGTCTAGCGGCTGATAGAGACACAAAGTAACAGAAGAGACTAAAGAGACTACTACAATTTCAATTTGCATAGGTAATTGATGATGTAATTTAAATATTTAATTTGACTTATTTGCATTATTGAGGCTGCTATAGTGCTTATAGCCTTAGATTAGGTAAATTAAATTGGGTCAATTATATTCTTAATTCTTTGCTATTTGGTTGTTTGTATTCTTTATGTAATAATTTAAATATTCAATTTGGTTGTTTATTTGTTTTCTTTACCAGGGCCGGTCCTGGGCAAGTCTTCCCAGGGCCGGCGCACAGGGCCCCCAAATTTTGGGGGCCCCATATTTAAAAAAAAAAATTGTGTGTATATATATATTGGTAGTTGCGGTTTCGAACAAAGAAAAATATCGACAGCTGCAGCTCTGAACAAACTAAGCGACAAACTCTGAAACTCACAAACCTACCCTAAATTCCTAATCTAGCGTCTAGCGGCAGATAGAGACACAAAGTAACAAAAGAGACTAAAGAGACTACTACAATTTCAATTTGCATAGGTAATTGATGATGTAATTTAAATATTTAATTTGACTTATTTGCATTATTGAGGTTCCTGTATTGCTTATAGCCTTAGATTAGGTAAATTAAATTGGGTCAATTATATTCTTAATTCTTTGCTATTTGGTTGTTTATATTCTTTATGTAATAATTTAAATATTCAATTTGGTTGTTTATTTGTATTCTTTACCAGGGCCGGCCCTGGGCAAGTCTTCCCAGGGCCGGCCACAGGGCCCCCAAATTTTGGGGGCCCCATATTTAAAAAAAAAATTGTGTGTATATATATATATATCGGTAGTTGCGGTTTCGAACAAAGAAAAATATCGACAGCTGCAGCTCCGAACAAACTAAACGACAAACTCTGAAACTCACAAACCTACCCTAAATCCCTAATCTAGCGTCTAGCGGCAGATAGAGACACAAAGTAACAGAAGAGACTAAAGAGACTACTACAATTTCAATTTGCATAGATAATTGATGATGTAATTTAAATATTTAATTTGACTTATTTGGATTATTGAGGCTGCTGTAGTGCTTATAGCCTTAGATTAGGTAAATTAAATTGGGTCAATTATATTCTTAATTCTTTGCTATTTGGTTGTTTGTATTCTTTATGTAATAATTTAAATATTTAATTTGGTTGTTTATTTGTATTCTTTACCAGGGCCGGTCCTGGGCAAGTTTTCCCAGGGCCAGCGCTTTGGGGGCCCCATATTTTAAAAAAAAAATTGTGTGTATATATATATCGGTAGTTGCGGTTTCGAACAAAGAAAAATATCGGCAGCTGCAACTCCGAACAAACTAAGCGACAAACTCTGAAACTCACAAACCTACCCTAAATCCCTAATCTAGCGTCTGGCTGCAGATAGAGACACGAAGTAACAGAAGAGACTAAAGAGACTACTACAATTTCAATTTGTATAGGTAATTGATGATGTAATTTAAATATTTAATTTGACTTATTTGCGTTATTGAGGCTGCTGTAGTGCTTATAGCCTTAGATTAGGTAAATTAAATTGGGTCAATTATATTCTTAATTCTTTGCTATTTGGTTGTTTGTATTCTTTATGTAATAATTTAAATATTCAATTTGGTTGTTTATTTGTATTCTTTACCAGGGCCGGCCCTGGGCAAGTCTTCCCAGGGCCGGCGCACAGGGCCCCCAAATTTTGGGGGCCCCATATTTTAAAAAAAAAATGTGTGTATATATATATCGGTAGTTGCGGTTTCGAACAAAGAAAAATATCGGCAGCTGCAGCTCCGAACAAACTAAGCGACAAACTCTGAAACTCACAAACCTACCCTAAATCCCTAATCTAGCGTCTAGCGGCAGATAGAGACACAAAGTAACAGAAGAGACTACTACAATTTCAATTTGCATAGGTAATTGATGATGTAATTTAAATATTTAATTTGACTTATTTGCATTATTGAAGCTGCTGTAGTGCTTATAGCCTTAGATTAGGTAAATTAAATTGGGTCAATTATATTCTTAATTCTTTGCTATTTGGTTGTTTGTATTCTTTATGAAATAATTTAAATATTCAATTTGGTTGTTTATTTGTATTCTTTACCAGGGCCGGCCCTGGGCAAGTCTTCCCAGGGCCGGCGCACAGGGCCCCCAAATTTTGGGGGCCCCATATTTAAAAAAAAAATTGTGTGTATATATATATCGGTAGTTGCGGTTTCGAACAAATAAAAATATCGACAGCTGCAGCTCCGAACAAACTAAGCGACAAACTCTGAAACTCACAAACCTACCCTAAATCCCTAATCTAGCGTCTAGCGGTAGATAGAGACACAGAGTAACAGAAGAGACTAAAGAGACTACTACAATTTCAATTTGCATAGGTAATTGATGATGTAATTTAAATATTTAATTTGACTTATTTGCATTATTGAGGCTGCTGTAGTGCTTATAGCCTTAGATTAGGTAAATTAAAGTGGGTCAATTATATTCTTAATTCTTTGCTATTTGGTTGTTTTTATTCTTTATGTAATAATTTAAATATTCAATTTGGTTGTTTATTTGTATTCTTTACTGTTCCACATCTCTTAGGCAGCGCAATTTAGTGAATTGATACAAAAACGACAGACTTAGCTCATGTGCTATTGATTCTTTAATTTTTTTTTTTTTTATCATACAAACTCTCAAGTTATTCAATTTTTTGATAAGTAATTAAAATTACGTATTATTTCATAATTCTTGTTTATTGTTTTATTTACATGATTTAATAATTCTGATTTCAAAATAATATATTCAAGAATTCGTTTCTTGATTAATTATTTATTGATAGAGTTTCTAAATAAATTTTTATTCTTTAGGATTTTATGTCTTCTAGAAAATATTCATCTGGGTTAAGAAGCGTAAAAAGAAAAAAAGAATAGAGCAACTAACTCAATCTCAAAAGGGAACTCTTGAAAAATTCATTACAAAAAAAATCTCAAATAGATGAGCAAAAAGATGTTGCAAAGAAAAAATTGTTAGATGTTAATCTTTATATAGAAGATCAAGATGATTGTGAGATAGGAAAAAATTTAAATGATAGTGTGCACAACGATGATAGGTATCATTGTAACAATGAAAATAATAAAAACGTTGGTAGTTGTTTAGATGATGTTGGTCACAGTAAAATTTTACTTACGATCAAATATGTTGCAAGACAGACTCAATGGATTAGCTTTAATCTCTATTGAATATGAGATTTTGGAAGAAGTTTATATCAAAAGTTTGGTGGATGATTTGCGTCTAAGTGTGCACGGCGCATGTAACTTTTTAAATGAAATTTTAGATGTATTTTTTATACAATATTTATGTTTTGAATTTTTGACACAACTTTTTGAACAACTATTATTTATATATAAAAATTACTTGAAAAAAGAGAGCCCAAATTAAGATATCGCACAAGACTCCATTTTTTATTGGAAAACCCAACCCGTGATTTACGGGCTGACGGACCGGGCTATAGACATGCCGTCAGCCCGTATTAAATTTTAATAAAAAAAATTATTTAAATGTGATCCTAAAAGGAATTATTTAATTGTTATAATTAATAAATTCACACTACCAATAGAATACAATAGAGTAAGATGATACACAATAAGAAGCATTCAATTCTTCATTTCAGGCCAGAGACATAGAAGCCTCAAGGCAAGTCCAATGATTCGATGCTCCCAGCTAATTTAATAGCAGATATAGTGAACTGATTAAAAAAACTCACACACAATCAAACCAATACATGGACCAATTAAATCAGGAACCGTTATCTTGGGCGATTGAACAAGAGTTACAGAAGATCGTGCTTTTCAGTGATTGTCAAATGGTTTGTCACCTTTTCAATAGCTCGGCTATGGATTATTCTTGTACGGGTTGCGTTCTTAGCCAATGCCGTGATCTCAAACGACACTTTGAAGTAGTGTCCATTCATTATATTTCTAGATCAGTGAATAAGCTGGCTCATGTTGTTGCTAGAGCTGCTCATTCATCTACTGGTCCTTCTATCTGGCTTAATTTTGTTCCTTCTTGTATTGAATCTATGATTTAATAAAATTATGACGTTATTTTCAAAAAAAAAAGAAGATATACATATACTAGAGTTTTAGTAGACTCTAGCAGTAAGAAATAAAACAAGGAAAAGTTCCTCAAAAAAAAAAAAAAAAAAAAAAAAAAAAAACAAGGAAAATCGGAAAAGCTTTCTCTGATCAAAGGGACAGGCATGA